TTTCAAAAAATCTCGAAATAATAGAAGTGTCATTTGTTTTTATATTTAATTTTATATGAATTAAAAAAAGTTAATTTGAAATTAAAAAGGGGCAATTTTATTTATATTTTCATCAATGATGCTTTTGCAGTGTACATTGGGAGGCGACGTGTAACATTGTTAGGGAATATGAGTTCAGAAAAAAAGGAAAAGAAAAAAAAAAAGGAAAACAATGATATAAAGTTACAAAAAAAAATACTTATACTTAACTAGTTGAATTATTTTGTAAAGAGAGACCGAGAAAATTGGATTGAAACCAGCTATACCATATTTCTTGGTACTTTGTATATTTCTGCTAACCGGTAGAAATTGGTGATATCGTATTAATTTCCTAGCTTCTGTTCGGTTTTTGTTAGACGTTCTTGACAGAAGTTAAAGCAAATCCGCCTAATGTTCAGCACTAAAGTCAGCCCAAATTAGGGCCGGCAGCAAATACTAGCGGAATTTAATTCCGCCCCTCGTGTTATTTATACGTTTTTTCCTCATAGCGGACCGTACTTCACCGCAGACGACAGAAAAGAGTTTTCGTTGCCAAATTGCCTTCCCGCCCTTTCGCCAATCAGTAGAAGGTATGTTGCGATTAGTTTTAATTTCTCAGTATCAACTCGACCCCACACGGTCCAAGCCGATGTCTTCAATTCTGTTTTTTTTTTCCATTGTCCTCCCTTTGAGAAAAATCGATCAGGTACAACCGCCCTTCCCGAAGGAAAAGAGGGTGTCGATTGGGGACGAGTAACGAAATAGTAATGGTCACGTCTGCTCTCGCCGTTCGCTAAACCTAAACTAACACCTATCTTCTTCAAGCTTTCAAAGAAAATCTATTATTCAACAGCGTACTTTTTGTATTATTACAATGGAAAACTTACACAGCACGGCAGACAATTATTCAACAAGTGCCATTCACCATCCAAGAAACTCTTGATAGTAAATGTCAATCTCCCTTTAACTTTAAATTTATTACAATTGCCATGAACTTTCTCCTGCACATGTTTATCACATTCTCAGTGAAAACATTGCCTCCGTTTACACTGTGTTCATTTTTGTGTTACCCCTGTTGGAAGCTGCAAGAAAATTGTATATTTAACTTGAAAAATCGCTTTAATGCATTTTTTACGTCGCACAAACTGACGAATGATGACTTTTGACGTAGTGCAATTTGTGACCCGCGTTCAACAACAATTATATACCAAGAACAGATCAGAAATGAGGCAAATTAGAAAAACAACACTAACTTCTTTTGCCGAGCTTTCGCCTTCATCAGAACATTGAAACATTAATTAAGAAAGGCATCAAGCTGAATGAACAAGAGCCGGCACGTGACGTTCATACTTAAGTTAAGAGTTGGCCCTCCGAGAGTCTGAGCCGGTATAGAAGTACCGTCCTCATGCGATTAAGAATAGGTCATACGCGGTTGATACATTGACACCCATTTTGGAGCCATAACCCCTTTATGCAGAAAAGGTTACTCGGTACGTCCCACGTAATAGAAGCTTGCCTTGTCTTGGCTACATATAGAGAGCGCGCGGACATACCTTCGCGTATGTCAGTGTTTCTCTTGCATAGTAGCGGGTTTCTAGGTCCCCTGTTCCGGTTTTTGGAGCAAGTATTTTTTATTGTATATAGATCGTTCTTGTTTTGTGGTTCTGTGTTTTGTTTGAGCGCGGTATTTATTAGTGTGAATGATGAAATAAAGTCAGGGCCATGGAGTAATATACATGAAAGTACTCCATTGACCCTAACTTAAGTTAGCCTTTTTTACTAGTGCCTGTAGTTTGGTGGAGGAATATCGAGTACTCTACCGACAACCAGTCTGAGCGCATATAATTAGGTGTGAATAAATTTGTTTGTCCAATTGTCTTCTGTGGGTTAGTTTAAGCTAGATCCTATTTTGCATGAGTTCGGAGCAAAATGACTGAAATGAACTAACTGTTGAAAGCCCCTGGGGCCTCCGTTGGTTGGATAGCGAAGACCCCCCCCCAGAATTTGACTCAAGGGGTGTCCTAGTGACCCAGCCGCTTAACGGGGTAGGTGAAATCGCGTGAGGTTTAGACCCTATCACCATATTAACTTATTCAGAAATTTCCACAAATAGATATATTTAATAGCTCTTTATAAACCATTAGAGAATATCTCTTAGTTATGAAATTATTGCTTTTTCATATGGTCAAACTTTTATTTTTTGATTGCAAAATATATTGTGTATTGTGTTTTGAGCATCTGCCACTTTAAATGAATAACGATCAAATTAGTTAGGAACAAAATTAGATACATTCTTCTCGTGGCCATGGCCAACGTGGAGCCTTGATTTGACCGTACTAGATTTTTACATATGGGGAACTCTGAAATCTGCATTTTACAGCACACGCTAATAAAGTTAAATGGTACTAAAAATTAAATGAGGACAAATCCGACCTTACGATTTGATCGAAATTCTTTTAAAAATATAAAATTAACATTTTTAAATAAATTAGTAGTATTAACGGTATAAACAGTTAAGGTAATGATTTCCATGATAAAAGGGTCTTGAAACCACTTGTTAATTCAACCATTGAATTACCTCGGCTCTAATGCAAAACAAACTCTGCAGGTCTAGAAAAAAAGTCCAAAAATACACAAAGACCCCTTTGGCAAATAAAAAGTTAACGTTTTACTCTCTAAAATCTCTTTTTAACGATTTGTTTCATTAGACAGCGCCGTGAACAAATGACAAAGAAAATGGGGGATCGAAGCCTTTTATTTATTTTCCTTTTAAAGAATTAAAAAGACAGCAAGATACATAACGTTTCACTATGAGAGGAAGTTTTAATAATAATTTTGCGACGGGTGTCATGTACGGGCTTATGTCAAAACGTTTAACACAAAATACCATAAGAGACACAGTGAATCCACCGTCATAAAATTGGAAGGGAAATAAATCACGTCACGCGTCCATCGGTCATTTTATATTGAAAGGAGGGGGGGGGTCAAATATCAATAAATCACAATGACAAATATAAATCGCCAGATTTCAAGATATGGTAGGTAATATAAATAACCGTTATTGATATATTTTTGTACGGACATCATTTGTACGAGGAAGGTTATGCCTGTTCTGAAAGCGAATACGAGTACGAAGTTGTTAAATGATAACGTGAAAAGTTTCAGGTTCCTTTAAACAAAATTACCTAGTGATATATGAACCAGGAATAAAGTTAATAACATTTAATATATCGTCCTTACAATGTCCAACTAACGAACGTGGAAATATCGTACTTTTTAACAGACCAAAAACTCCTTTAATTCTGATTCCGAAATGAGCGCATTTCCGAAGCGGTCATTTTTTGAAAATTTCCTATGCAATGTTTAATACTTCTTACGATTAAGGCTTGTACAACTGGGACTCATTGGGTAGATTCATGTTGCGATTCAGAATCTACCCACGTCTGTCAAAAACTGTGTCCACACTGAGATTCATATTGCGATTGAGAATGTACTCACGTCTGAGGAAAACTGTGTCCACACTGAGATTCATGTTGCGATTCAGAATTTAATCACGTCTGACAAAACTGTGTCCACCTGAGATTCATGTTGCGATTCAGAATTTAATCACGTCTGACAAAACTGTGTCCACACTGAGATTCATGTTGCGATTCAGAATGTATTCATGTCTGACAAAAACTGTGCTACACTGAGATTCATGTTGCGATTCAGAATTTACTCACGTCTGTCAAAAACTGTGTCCGCACTGAGATTCATGTTGCGATTGAGAATGTACTCACGTCTGAGGAAAACTGTGTCCACACGGAGATTCATGTTGCCATTCAGAATGTACTCACGTCTGACAAAACTGTGTCCACACTGAGATTCAGAACCAAACGAAAAATGGAGGAGAAATTAGCTCTCGCATGAGCATCCGTAGGTGTTCTGTCGATAATTATTATTGGGGGGGGGGAAAGAAGATGGTGGGCTCGCACATTGCTTACAGACCGTAACCGCCAAGCGAATAGTCTATTAGATACTTTAAAAATGGAAGATGGAATGGTGTTCAGGAATTTTGTATGAATGTCCCCAACCGATTTCGAAGTAATTTTAAAGAAAGTTGGTAATAGATAGTTCAAAACAATTAAATGTGAGTATGAACTATCTTTATAAAAGATTGAACAACACACTCCACCATTTCTATAAGAATATGGCATGTTCGATGGTGTGCATTGCTTTAAAATTATTCGGGATTTAAAAAAAGTCAGATTAAAGCTTATTTCAAAAGAAAAGAGGAAGTAAAGACATTAAAAACTTGGAAGAAAAATCCAAGTGAATGTATCCAATGAAAGGATAAGTAAAGTCGGTAGTGTATAGTAATATTGGTGGGAAGGACTTGGGATCAAATTTTGCGAGCACAAGGATAAAAGATTTTTTTTTTTGTACATCCGTAACATGAAGTCTGTCTTTGTAATCGATAAAAGGATTTTTTGTTTTGTTTAAGCTACTAGTGTTAAAAAGGACTGAAGCGTCAACGAACTTAAAATGATTTTTATTAATTCCTTGCCCTTCATTGTCTTTCTTTGTCGTTTCTTTGCTTTTTACTCTGATTTTCATGTTTCTCCATTTCAAATTTCGCCCCTCTTTGATAAAAATCCAACAAGTCATCATGTAGTTGATGGTTACTTCAAATGAACAAGGGTTGATATGTCTGGGTTAACAAAAGCTTCGATTTGGTCACCATCAGTGTGAGAAAGAGGACAAGAACGCTTTGCACCTTCCAAAACGAAATTTTAGGTTCTAAACTGCGGAAACCACTTAGTACGGTGCCTTTCTCCTAAACGGTCATCACCATTCATATCAGAAATTTTTATTGATATTTTCAAATCAGAATTTTCACGATCTCCAAATAATCAATAAAAATAGACATTTTTAAGCCGGGTTAGATGTGAGGAGCATTTTTCCCTCATATCCAATATTAAGGACATAAACGTTCCTTCTTGCCTAATAAAAAAATAAAAAGACAAATAATAACATTTCTTTACAGACCCATCAGTGAGTCCCCCTCCACGGAAATTTTTAGTAAAAGGCGAAAGATTTATTCGTTATGAAGTGCTCTCTGGCTGTGTTCTTCGACCTCAAGAAGGCATACGACACGACGTGGAGGTACGCGGTTCTCCGGAAATGCTGCGAGTTCGGACTTCGAGGTAACTTACCCCGGTTCATTCGGGGCTTCCTTAGTAACCGGAGATTTAGGGTACGACTGGGGTCCGCGCTTTCAAGGGTGCATGTTCAAGAGAATGGCATCCCCCAGGGGTCGTTGCTGAGTGTGTCGCTCTTTGCGGTGGCAGTAAATGGCATCGCCGACGGCATACCTCCCCAGGTAAAAGTTAAATTAGACGTAGATGATTTGAGTTTCTACCTTTCAGGGAAGGACCTGGACAAAGTTGGGGAGGTTATGCAGACGGCAGTCGACGTGGTAGCTCTCAGGGCAGAGGAGGCCGGCTTTAGGTTCTCGGCGACCAAAACAGTGTGCGTTCACTTCTGTAGGCTGAGGAGGGAGCACACTCCTCCCCGGATCTTCTTGGGTGGCGTACCGATAAGGGGCGCCGTGAGCGTGAGGTTCCTCGGTCTCCTCTTTGACGAGAAGTTACGTTGGCAGTTCCACGTCGACGCCATCGAAGGGAAGTGCCAAAAAATAATCCAGCTCCTTCGATTTTTGGGGAACTTTCGTTGGGGGGCTGAAAAGGAAATATTATTAAAGATATTCGACTCGCTGCTGTGCTCGATAATGTTTTATGGATGTATGGCGTATGGTTCTGCAAGGAGGTCCCGCCTGACTAAGCTCGACCGTCTCTATTATCAGGGTCTTCGAGCGGTGCCAGGCGCCTTCAGGACCACCCCATTGGCCAGCCTTTGCTGCGAGGTGGGTGTTCTCCCGCCGGACCTGAAGCGGGAGCAGCTCCCCTACGGATATGCGGCATCCATACTGGCCAAACCAGGTAATCCGCTGGCGGTAATGATCACGGGCAACTCTCACAAGGATAAGTATTCCAGGCTGCCCACCCGGACGCGACCTCTAGGGATCCGCTTTGCCGAATCCCTGGAGGGGATGGTACTGGGGCCGGTTCTTCCTCTGGGACACCGGGCGTACTCGTCCGGGAGGATTTGGCAGCCCTGCCCAAGTCGTGTACCATGCCGAAACAATACAAAGCGGAGTTCCTTGAACTCCGCTCTCAGTATCCCGGATGTAAGACCGTCTTCACGGACGGCTCTAAGACCGGGGCGGGTGTGGCATACGGGGTGTACACGCGGGAGGAGAGCTCCTCCCACCCACTCCCTAGAGAGTGCAGTGTGTACACCGCCGAGTTATACGCGATTTGGCACGCAATGCCTGGGGGTGTCGGGCATGGGGGACGAAACTGTTCTGATCTGCACTGACTCCCTCAGCGCGGTGAGAGCCCTGAGAGACCTCTATTCACGGGATCCACTGGTCGGCAAAATCCAATTAAAATATGCGGACGTTGTGCGCGCCGGGAAAAGGGTGGTTTTAGCCTGGATTCCAGGATACGTCGGACTGGAGGGGAACGAGAGAGCGGACCTGGCCGACTCGACTGACGCGTTGGTGTCCGTTAAGCCGACGGTCGACCGGTGGAGCTCGGAGGGGATATCTCGAAGGGAAAGCGTTGTCCTGACCCGCCTGCGGATAGGCCACACACGTGCGACTCATGGGTACCTGTTGGTTGGCGCGAGTCGACCTAGGTGCCCAGCATGTCAAGTAGACAGACTCACGGTGTCGCATGTGTTGGAGGGGTGTCGCAGCTTGGCCCTGTATAGGGACCGAAATGGAATACCGCCGGTTTATAGAAGAATGCTCGAGCATGGCAGCGAATTCAAGGACAAACTTTTGAGGTTTCTAACAGATATTGGGATTATGGGTTGTATATAGAGGGGTATTTATTTTATAGGTTTAAGTTTAGCTTTAGTTTCTGGTAGAATAGAAGTATGTTGGGCGGCGGTGCAGCATATTATTTCAAGGCTTCACCGCTGCTCCGGTAAGCCGGTTCGGGGCGGAATATCGAGTACCCTCCGACCCGGATTCTAGACAGAGGATACGCATGTGTGATTGGGTTTGTATATAGTAGTATGTATGTATTTATTGTATGAGTGAGTGTGAGAATGACTTGTTTTAGGGAACGTAAGGGCGCCGAAATGACCAAAGAAGTCGATGGCGCCTGACCAGAGCCCAACATCGGAGTCGCTTATGCACCAAGGTGGGTGACTCCCCCTGATCTATCAGGGAGAGGCCAGAGGCCTCCTAGGAGGTCTCGTAATTCTAATAACATTTCCTCCACTGGACTTTACCAAAAATCAACTTTGTTAAAACCGATGAAAAACTGAATGTTTCTACTTTTAATCGATGTCAAAATGCTTAGCTTTTACCCCATTTCAAGTAACAACAATAAGGATGTAATAAATAAAACTTCTCAAACGATTTATTTTATTACGCTGGTTCTACTCTATTTATGAAGGTGACGTTTATAAGGGCTCTGTGATTTATGGCGTAGTCCGGTTGGTGCGTTTCAGTTATCACCATTTTTCCGATTTTCGAAAAAAAAAAAAATCCGAGGCGAGGATAGGCAGAACTTTTGAGAAAAAAATAATATTTTTTGATTTTCCCAAAGAATTGTATTCAGCTGTTTTTGGGGGTGCGAACGAATATTGAATTTTGTTTTTTGCTAAAAATATATTGTACTTTAACCTAATATGCTACGTCGTTCGGTTACAAGTTATGTATTTAAGTACATATCTAATATAAATAATATGGCAATTATTCATTTTGGCCTTAGTGACTGAACGACTTAATTAAAATCTTCCGCTTGTAAAATCGTTAATTTATATTATACTGGACGGATATGGGTATAGCGGTGGCCGAGTGATTACGGGGCTCTGACTCTTATTCCTCACGCAAGCAGATCTGGGTTCGAATCCCGGCATAGTACCTACCTGGAAATTTGTCTGTATGCAAGTTCCATTGCAGACGGGCGAGTTACGACGGCTAAAAGTTTCAAACGTCTGTGATTAATTGTGAACGGAAGATAGTAAAGCACTCGAACTATTGATAAAATCCTCAATAGCAGGGTTTCCAATATATTTTAAGTATAACGTACAATGCTGGAATGTTAATTTGATTATGTTTATTTATTTAATAAAATAAAGATGAGTGATTTCAGGCTGACCGTGTATTTTAGATACAGAGTAATTTTTTTAAAATCAAAATTGGAATTCGGTTTTGCCATAAGGTTTTTTCACGAACTCTTCGTTCATCGGAGGAAATGGTGGGGCTTTCTTCCCCAGGGCATTTCAAAAAGCTGTTTGCGAGATTGGCGCAGTCAAAAAGAAAAATATATCCGATTTAACTGGCCACTTTTTTTTAAATACGCCTTCAGTGTCGGGAGTCCTGCTATTGATTTCCCAGAAGCGTGAAAGTTATTCGGTTTTGGGTAAGTGTTCTGAATATAAGATTTCCCTGTGAGGATGTCCTGATCCTCCTTTTTTGAAGGGTCTCAGGAAGCAGCATCGTTTTATCATCAATCCCACTCCCTGATCTGTTAAATCCCTCCAGGGACAACATTGTAAAGGATCGCTTTCATCCTTAATAGGACGTTCTATCCGTTTTCACGCCTTTATTAATTCGGCCCTCTGAACCCGAGGAACCATCAACAAAAGAAATTAAACGTTAAAACAAATTTAACAAACTAACATGGTTAATTTTAGTTTAGGCCCAATTTACGGATGTAGATTCCAACTCGCTTATCTAAGAGAACTAATACCTAAACCGCTTTTTGGCCCTGTGGTAAATGATTTATTCACTAGATCCGAATATCTAGAAGGTCAAGATATTTGAATAATTACAACTTTCTTCACTGAGTACCTCTCACTTAACTGAAAATAAACCTCTTTGAAAAATCGTACATTATGGCCCGCCGGTTAAATTGAATGAATAAATGAGTGAAGAACTTTATTTTCTAAAAGAAAGTACAACATAATAATAAATAAAAAGTTCTTAATTCATCATTTATTGCATATCCGTGATGATAGTGGTAGCCAGGGGACTTGAAAACAAGCGTATTACAGGGGGCCCCTACGATTCCAATGCCACGTAGCGCGCTACCGGGTTTGGAAACTTGAAATTTTGTGCTACCCGTGGTTCAAGTGGTTATGCACCCTCCCCCGTCTTCGCAGATAGGATCTTACATCCTAACCCATCTGTGCTACTGACGGAGCACCCGCCGTCCGCCTGCTGACGTATAGCCAACACATGAACACAACTTGTGCTTAAGAAAGTTCACCACGTTCTCAGGGCTATACCATTATGCTTTGCCTGAAAACCTCCCTTGCAGGGTTAGGAAAGGTCTTAAGGAAATATGCCGTAGGGCCTGGATTGAGAAGAGAAAACGCCCGAGAACGCGAGGCTCTCACTTTCAGGTTGCTGGAAGACTGGAAGTGCCAACACAAGGCCTGGTAGTGGATCTCAGCTCATTACGACGGTAAAGGAGGACAGAAATATAGTCATTGCTGCAAGACGGAACCCTTTTCACAGTGCCCGCCACATCCTAAATGAATTACAAGGCAAGTTTTTGCAAGGCCTTTACCAACACAAACAATTCGTTATTGTTTGTGGAAAGGTGGCCTAACATCGTAGCCCCATTTGTGACCTGCAACAATAGCCCGCCACCAGCAAGTCAGGAGAATATGGTTCAGCGAGGGCCTAGAAGGGAACACCACTTGGAATGCTGTTACGTTTACTTATATAGTGATAGCGACGAAGAGTCTACCAACACCAGTGAATGTGTACAATGCCCCAGTTCGTGCTCCCTTCAGTTCAGTTTGGAGGATGCGGTGTAATGGATGGGGCTGGGATTTACACTGGAGGACGGACTGGACTCCATATTTTTGAAGGCAACCACCGCAGTCCGTTATGGCCAAGAAATTATCGAAGAATAAATCTCTGAAAACATTGGCAGGGATTTTCAATTTCTAGATGACATTGGAGGCAGAGTTGTTCATCAATGTTTAGAAAACCTCGGAATTTCCCATCTGCCCCTTCGCCCATTGTCTCCAGA